GGAGCGGTGGGAGATCCCGGCATCGTGGCACTCTTTGCGCCTCGAACGTTCGGGTTTAGGGTTTAGGGTTTAGGGTTTAGGGTTTAGGGTTTAGGGTTTAGGGTTTAGGGTTTAGGGTTTAGGGTTTAGGGTTTAGGGTTTAGGGTTTCGGGTTTGGGGTTTAGGGTTTAGGGTTTAGGGTTTAGCGCTTAGGTTCAGGGCTTAGGGGAGGAGGGGGCTTTGGGTGTGGGGTTCGGGGAGGAGGAGTCAGAAGCGTGGGGGAGAGAAGTAACGGGTGTCCTCGAACCATGCTTGCGCAGGAAGAGACGATGCACAAACACACCACAAGCCCATCTCAGGGTTTAGGGTTTAGGGTTTAGGTTTTAGGGTTTAGGGTTTAGGGTTTGGGGGGTGTGGGGTTTGGGGTTTGGGGTTTGGGTACACCAAGCTTCGCAGATCGGGCGCTGCCCGGATTTGTGGCCATGCGTTCAGCAATCTGCCAAGTACGACACACGGTACCACGCCCGGCCGTAGACTCCATGTTACCATTACCTCGCATTGTTATTAGTTCCTTGCTTTGGGATACAAGTCTGAAGTCTTTGGGGAGTATAAGAGCCCTAAACCCTAAACCCTAAACCCTAAACCCTCAACCCCTTGTGATTAGGGTTTTGGGTAGGCAACCCGAAGTCCTAGGTGGTTCTAGGGAAGCCCCCTAAGCATCCCTAAACCCTAAACCCTTTAATCGCCAATCTCTGAACTCGTGAGCTCACACCTGATACCATACCTCCACCCAAAGGGGAGGGGGGGGGGGGGGGAAATTTGGGGGGGGGGGGGAGTGTGGAGGGGGGGGGGGGGCGCCGAGTGCACGGCAACTCATTCAGAGGTAGCGCCTTCCAGCTTAGCAGCTGCCTGAGACATCGGTAAGGGTTTAGGGCTTAGGGTTATAAGAGTTTAGGGTTTAGAGTTCAGGGTTTAGGATGTCGGATGTAGGGTTTAGGGTTCTTGGGTTTAGGGACGTTGTTTTACTTCTCCAGCAACTAAAGGACGAAGCTAACTTTTGGGAAGTCCCGAAAAGCTTTCAGGTCAAGTGTTGGCTAGTAGGGATTTGGGTTTCACCGGTTGGGGCTCAAAACTCTGTAACTCGACACTTCCAGTTGCACAAGTATCCTTCCCCCTCCTCCCTCCTTCCCCGCCCCCCCCCCCGTGGGTGGCTTAAATAGGGTCTATTTGGAAGCTGTGACTCGGGTTTTCTTATAGCCATACACGTTTCCACGAGGGTACGCTGCTGTCACGTCAGTCGTACTATGGTGGCCTCAGGAACAAGAACCAGGTAGTTCCTCTTTTCTCTTTTCTTTTTCTCCTCAACCCTAAAGTCGAAGGCTCTCGTGAACAGGAGAAGAGAAGGGAGAGAAGGAGGGAGAGATAAGAGGAACACAATTTTCATGGGAAGAGCCAAGAAAAGAATAGAAGAGAGATGAATAAAGGAGAGGGAGAGACAAAACAAGGCGCAAAGAAGATGGTACTCTGCTTTATCTATCCTGTCTCCCTTATCTCTCCGTTCCTTCTGTCTTTTCGAAATGAGAACAACAAAAAGAAAGAAGGGAAGTGAGAGAGGAGAGACAACAAGGAGGCCATTTTAATTTCCTGTGAGTTATCAAAAGGAATGCAATATTATGGGAAGAGCAATGGAAAAAAGAGTGGAAGAGAAATGAAGACAGGAGGGGGAGGTGCAAAAATAAGGCAAAGAGAAGATGGTGCCGTTTTCATCTCACCTCTCGTTCTTATCTTTCTCTTCTCTGGTTCTTTTCCCTGTGAAATAAAAAACCAAAGGAAGGACAATGAACATATAAAGGAACCCGTTTTCGTTTTCCGTTTGGGCACAAGGAAAAGAACAGAGGCGATAGGGCGAGAGGAGGGGTTTGCTGAAGCATGGGGAGGGTGTACGGGCAAGGAGCCAACTCCGCCCACTTCCCCCATCCATTGAAAGAAGAGAAGAAAGGAACAGGGCCTCCATTCCCCTCTTATTCTTCCTTTCTTGCGTTTTTGTCGTTTAGAGGGGAACAGGAGAAGAGGAGGGAGAGAGAAGAAGAGAGGAGAGATAAAAAGGGTTGCATTTCAATGGGAAGAGCAAAGAAAAGACTAGAAGAGAGATGAAGGGAGAAGAGGGAGAGACACAACAAGGCGCACAGAAAATGGGCAGATAAGAAGAGAGGAAAGGGAATGACTAAGTAAAATGAGGAGTTCTTCAATTTCCCTCCCTATCTCTTATGTTACTTTTCCTTCTTGTGGGGTGTCCCTTTTTCTCTTGAAGATGCAGAAAACGATTGAAAAGGACACCCGTTCCATCGCCCATATGTAGGGAAAGAGAGAGAATCATGAGCATCAGCTGGGCATGCTGCCAATCCAACATGGGCGTCCCTTTTAATCGCATTCTGTGTCCTTTTTTCTCGCTTGAAAATGCAGAAAACGATCCAAAAGCACATCTGTTGCAGGAAGAGAGAAGGAGAGAGGAGAGATACCAAGGATTGCATATTTAATGGGAAGAGCAAGGAAAAGAATAGAAGACAGATGAATAGAGAAGAGGGAGAGACAAAACAAGGCGCAGAGAAGATGGCACTCTTCTTTATCTATTCTCTCTCCCTTGTTTCTCCCTTCCCTCTTTCTTTTCGAAATGAGAAAAACAAAAAGGAAGAACTATGAGAAGGAGAAGGGTAAGGAAAGGAACAGAAGAGATAGGCCGAGAGGAGGAATATGATGGAGCATTGTGGAAAGGTCCACGCGCAGGGAGTCACCCTGTGCTTACCTTTCCACTGCTTTATCATATGAGTTCCTTTCTTGTGTGTTATCAGTTCAAAGGAAGCAGAAGAAGAGAAGGGAAAGGGAAGTGAGAGAGGAAAGATAACAAGGATGCTATGTTTCTCGAAGCGTGCTGCAAGGAATAGAAGAGACAGGAAGCAAGGAGACGGAATCACAATATAAGGCGCAAAGCTGTACATATCATCTCTCCCTTGTCTCTCCCTATTCCCTTTCGAACTAGAAAAAACCATTCTTGCTTTTCACAGATAGGTTCCCTCGCTCCTCTTCAGGAAATCCCCTTTCCCTTATGTTGCTTCTTTGAAGCGAATAAGAAAAATAGCAGATAAGAAGAGAGGAAAGGGTCAATTTCCCTCCCTATCTCTTGTGTTACTTTTCCTTCTTGTGGGGTGTCCGTTTTTCTCTTGAAGATGCAGAAAACGATTGAAAAGGACACCCGTTCCATCGCCCATATGTAGGGATCGAGAGAGAGAGAGAGAGAGAGAGAGAGAGAGAGGGAGAGAGAGAGAGAGAGAGAGAGAATCAGAATCATGAGCATCAGCTGGGTTTGCTGCCAATCCAACATGGGCGTCCCTTTTAATCGCCTTCTGTGTCTTCAAACGCGCAAAGGGGGCACCCTGAGTGTTTTCTTTTGGGTGTCCTTTTTAAGATGCAGAAAACGATCCAAAAGGACATCTGTTGCAGGAAGAGAGAAGGAGAGAGAAGAGATACCAAGGATTGCATATTTAATGGGAAGAGCAAAGAAAAGAATAGAAGACAGATTAATAGAGAAGAGGGAGAGACAAAACAAGGCGCAGAGAAGATGGCACTCTTCGTTATCTATTCTCTCTCCCTTGTTTCTCCCTTCCCTCTTTCTTTTCGAAATGAGAAAAACAAAAAGGAAGAACTATGAGAAGGAGAAGGGTAAGGAAAGGAACAGAAGAGATAGGCCGAGAGGAGGAATATGATGGAGCATTATGGAAAGGTCCACGCGCAGGGAGTCACCCTGTGCTTACCTTTCCACTGCCTTATCATATGAGTTCCTTTCTTGTGTTTTATCAGTTCAAAGGAAGCAGAAGAAGAGAAGGGAAAGGCAAAAATTGAGCCCAACATTTTAGGGACCAGGGCTTGCGATCTGACTCTTTGGAGCAAAAATCGATTCCAAAATCTTGGGGACCAGGGCTTGCGATGTTACTCTTTGGAGCAAGAAATAAGCCCAAAATCTTAGGGAGCAGGGCTTGCGATTTCACCTTTTGGGGCAAAAACTGGGCCCCAAATCTTAGGGACCAGGGCTTGCGATGTGTCTCTTTGGAGCAAAAGTTAAACCCAAAATCTTAGGGACCAGGGCTTGCGCTTTGACTCTGTGGAGCACAGATCGACCCCGAAATCTTAGGGACCAGGGCTTGCCATTGGCCTCTTTGGAGCAAAAATTGACCCCAAAATCTTAGGGATTCGACTCTTTGGCGCAAAAAATGAGCCCAGAATCTTAGGGACCAGGGCTTGCGATGTTACTCTTTGGAGCAAAAAGTGAACCCAAAATCTTAGGGACCAGGGCTTGCGATTTGACCTTTTGGAGCAAAAACTGGGCCCAAAATCTTAGGGACCAGGGCTTGCGACGCTACTCTTTGGAGCAAAAAAAATGCGCCCAAAATCTTGGGGACCAGGGCTTGCGATGTCACTCTTTGGAGCAAAAACTGGGCCCCAAATCTTAGGGACCAGGGCTTGCGATGTGACTCTTTGGAGCAAAAGTTAAACCCAAAATCTTAGGGACCAGGGCTTGCGATTTGACTCTTTGGAGGGGCAGGGTGGGCATGTAAATTCCTCTTCTCTCTTCCTCTTTCTTTTCCACAAGAAAGAAAACTGAGCTGGACTTGAGAAGGGGGAAGCTAAGAGACCCTCTCTGTCCTACGGTCTATGCTTCTCTCTATGCCTCGCCCTGTCTCACTCCGTCTTCCATTTCTACAAGACATGCCGCCCATAAAAGAAAAAAGAGAGAGCGAGAGAGAGGGAGACAGAACGAGCGAGCGAACCGGAAGAAGAAAGGAACAGGGAAGGAAGACATGCAAACTTCTCTTCTCTCTTCTCTTCTTGTCTTTTTCTTTAGAAAAAACTGATTGGGAGCATACCCTTTTCGAATATCTTACTTGGACGGTGCTTGCGATTTGTCTTTTGGGAGCACAGATTCTTTCAACATCTTAGGGGACAGCACTTGCGAATTGTGTGTTGGG